AATAAAAGTCACTTCCATTGGTTTTATGATTTTTTATGAAACTGTTAAATCTTTTGCAGATTATTTAGAAACAGTCAAATTTGGCATTATAGATTTAACACAATCTGCAATTCTTTCAATTCATACATCTTAAGTTCTTTATTACGAAGAAATATGGCGTTTACTAAGTTTATATAACTATATTTTTTATATCAGATTCATGTTTTTACAGAACATGGATGATGGATATATGTGTATCAAACTGTTTATTGACTTTAAGTAAGAAACAATATCTTCAGCAGATTTTTTATGAATTTTTCATATACAATAACGAATATGTTTGAACTTGTACCAAAAAATTTATATTTCTGCCAGGAAATCCGTCTTACAAACTGTATGTTTTCTTAACGTTTCAAGACATTCAGAATTATTTGAGAAAATTGTATTAATTTAAAAACCCTATATATTACATTAATACTGAATACCCCGTTACAATAGTACGTAAATTGAGTTCATCATTTTTTGAGCTTGTTTTCTAGAACTGTTTGTCATACAGGACTGGTGAATGTTAACGTTAATTTAAAATCCAACCTTTTTTTTAATTTTTAACTTTCTATAGAGCAAGTTATACTAATCTCAAAAAGATCGAAAATGAAAATTTTTATGTATCTTTACGTTTCAAAGGTTTGTGAACATTTTGGCATACCTTAGAAAAAATGGATGTATGTGTGTGTGCGGATACAAACTTTCGTCGACGATTTTGGGAACACGGATCAACCAATTTGAATAATTCAAGAAACATTCGATTTGTTGATTGGGACGTGCTGATTAGTACTTGACGATGGCAGGTCTAGCCGTTCCGAAGATAAGAAGCAAAACTGCGAAAAACGGTAACTCAGTTTTTAAGAGAACGGAGCGTCCGATTTCAATATTTCAAAAAACATTTTAGTTGTATTGACTAGATAAAAAACTGATTGAACTTTTGTAAAGGCAGGTCCAGTGGTTATGGACTCTAAATACCACTCACTTGGTGGTTAAAAATGTTTATTGGACTTATGCACATCGATTTATCAGATATTTTATAGAGATTTCCATAATGTGTATTCATTTTGTATAATTTTTTTTGGGTTTCCTACCAAGATTTTTAATTATAGTACGGGAAGTTCCAGCAACTTGCCTTAAGGCACGATTCCATGCACCCAACTAGCTAGAATCTTTGCTTTAACAACATGGTGACATAGAAATAGTCCGGCCTATGTTAATAACAAACAGTGCAATTAAAAAGTACTTTTGAACAGGCACTACATTGTCGAAAAATAGTCCAATAAATTCCTGAAAAAAATAAAATTATAAAAAAAAATTATATATATATATATCAATATAATATAATATATTTATTTATTTTATTATTGATATATATATATATATATATATATATATATATATCAATATAATCTAAAATAAAAAAATCTAAATATTTTATCAATATTGAGAATCATGTCTATTATGTTACAATGGCATGTGATATGTGTGTTGACATCGACACCAATAAAACATCTCGTCTCCCCAGTAGGTATATGTCTATTTTTCCTATTGATGTTTATATTCTCCGTGTTACCTGCTCCAATATAAGTATATGTGATTTGTAACGTCAAGGTGATACAAGGAAACTCACACGCAAATTGGTTGCAGATCCCGCCTTGAATAACAACGAGGAAGTATCTGTCGGAGGCAGGTGGCACCTGCAAGAATTGTCAGAGATAGAAGAAAAGTTTAGTAAATTTTATTGTAGAATTGTACTATCAAATTTTGTTGTGAAAGTGCATTATGATGAGAAATTAGTAACAGTTGCTCCTATAACGCGGTACTCTGAACACGCGGTTTTCATACTACGCGGAACTGAAATTGTTACGGCACGGTTTTCGTTCAACACTGCATAAGAGTCTTTCGCGCAACCTTTAAATAATTGAAGAAATATTTATTATAAAATTTATTTCGACAATTTTTGAAGTAAAACTTTTTTAGGCGCAACTAGGGTATAAATCCGTACAAATGCAACGGAAGTGCGTTACGGCAGATAAGATAAGAGTCGAGTACCAATGATTCGTCATTCGCTCTCGATGATATTATTTTTATACGGGTCGATTGTGATTAGTCGACGCGTTAGTGAATAGAGATCTGTCGTTGTATGCGTACCAGCATCAACGTTGTATACGTACCGATATCAACAAGGAAATCGGCTTAGAAAAATAAACATTTTAAAGTTACATTGTATTACAAATCTTGATTTAATAAAAAATGCACGAATCAGAAGAATATTTTACCCTGTTTCCCGTAAATAACTATAATGATAATAATAAAACAAATGCAGCATTATTCGTAGTTTCTATGAATATTTAATGTTATTGAAATAGAAAATATTTTTTAGGCAAAACAGATACTACAGCTGTTTAAAGAATGAGATTATATCGCCAGCGAAGAAGTAAAAAAATACAAGCAGTCAATGAATGTATGTTAATTTTAATTACATGAAGTTCTTCAAACACAATTACATGATGAGTAAAGTTGCGAAAACAATATTTGTTTAGGCGTTGTTTATTATAATCCACTGTGTGAACGAATATTATAGAATTTATTAACCAGCAATTACTTCATTTCTCTAATGAAAATTCATTTCTAAATTACAATGACAAACCGATCATGTCATATTTGGAGTATGACTTTAATTACATTATTGTTTTTAAATATTATATATATTTTTTGTGCTATTATAAATATATAATTCATAATTTATCATTATATAAATGTGTATAATGGTCGTCACTAATAAATATGTGTATCACAAGTGTTACCATATAACTGATAAAATAAAATGTGCATTAGCAAATAATTTTTACTTCAATCGCGTGTGAACCTTAAGCGTACTCTTTTTTTATTTATTATATTATATTCATATAAACATAACAGATTATATCATGGCCTTTGTGAGAAATCAGATTTTGTAATATCAGAGTCTTTTCACAGAACGTTGGTCTTTTTAAAAGATTCAACCATCAATTTCTTCCTCCGTCTCCGTCTATTTCTGGTATAGTTCTCTGGTAAATGGATAATTCGCAAAACGTATTATGCATTTCTAAGCGTTTAGGTGTTGAATAAATCACATATATTAGAATACATGCCAAGTTATACATCATAATCTCAAGCATATGCAATTGTACCGCACATTGTGCTCGGCGCTATCTTAGACCTTCTAGTTCCGTGAGTTTACAGACTGAGTTATGACTTGGAGATCATCCAGAATATTATTTAACTATAAAGCCAATGCAGATTATGTATATATATATATATATATATATATATATATATATATATATCTTCAATATGGACATTTTCGAATTTCCTTGCTCCCCAGTGCTCAAATGGTTCCAAATTGTCTTTTAGATAGTGCGCAGTTCAATCAAAGTTTTGTATGGAAATAGCATGAAAAAATTTTCAAAAATTTTCAATAAAAAATTACACGAATTTTCACTTTTAATTCATTTGTCGCTAAGTTATACCTAAAATTTTTTTTTTTATTTTCAAAATTCTTTTCATGCTACTTCCATACGAAGGTTGATTGAATTGCGCACTATCTCAAAGTTAATATTAAAAGCTCAAACTTTCAGAGAATTGTTTTTTATCAATTTGGAACTATTTGAGCCCTTAGGAGCCATGAAATTCAAAAATGTCCATATTAAGGACCACCCTGATATGCATTATAATGATTCAAAAATATTAAATCGTTAAATCAAGGGCATGGATTCTAAAGAAGTCTGGCAATTACTATCTGACTACAATTTTGAGATGGATTTCACATGTTTCATCTTAAAAAATATCGTAAAAAATTTAGGCTTTTTAAATTTTGACGATGGTGCTGTGAAGTTGAAAATTAATATTCTAACATTGATAATCACTTATTCAACTTATTTCTCTGTAGATTAAAAAATAAATTAGTTGATGGCATTGTGCTGGACCTTTCTGTACCGTAACGAAATGTTCGAGGAATATTAAATTTTTCCAAATAGATTATTATAAATAAATACTGTAACATTGTCTAATATTTATAAGAATTATTTAAACTGAATTAAAAGTTAAAATAATTTTTTTAAAGATTATAAGTGAGCTTTGCAACTTTAGCCAATATTAAAATTAAAATCTGAATTATTTTCGATTTACAAAAAAAAATCCCAAAAGCAATTATTTCGTCAAAACAAGCAGAAAGTTTTATGAATCACTTAAATCGGATTCTTAGTTATCTCAAAAACTGCCATTTTTCGCACATTTAGCTCGGTGTTACCAAAACGGGTCGACCTGCCTTTGCCAAAAACTAGTCACTACTTCTCGCTGCCATTACGAATTGAATGTTTTTTAAGTCATTCAAATCGGATGATCCGTTCTCTCAAAAACTCAATTTCTATTTTCAGCACTTTTTGCTCCGTATCTCCGACACGGTTAGACTTGCCTTTGCCAAAAACTAATCAGCACATCTTCCTATCAATAGGAATGGAATGTTTTTCATTGCATTCATACATACACGCACACTCACACATCCATTTTTTCTGAGGTATTCCAAAATATTCAGAAACCTTCAAAACGTGAAGAAATGTGAAAATTTTCATTTTCGATTTTTGGACGATTACAATAACTTACCCTACGGGAAGATAACTTGTGTTGTATGACATTGTATCTTAAAGAAAATTACTGGAACTTCCCAAAAACTAAATAAAAAAACTGATTTTTTTTTCAAAACTTTTGATTTTCAATTTTTGATGAATTTTAATTTTTTTGAAAAAAATGACTTTGTGAAAAATTGACTATAAATGCACGTTACAAACACAGTGAATTTTTAGTGTATGGAAGATATTTTGTTTTAAATTAACCAAATTTATAAATTTTTGTTCTTTCATAAATTAAAAAAAGTACTAATAACGAATTTCTTTAGATATTTGTTGCATTCAATAATAATGTATATGATTTTGCAGGTACCTACTACATTGTTGCAAGATAATATTGAGCTTTAAATAAGAAAAGAAAATAATGATTGTTGTAAGTAAAAATTTAACATATTTATGACACATTTTCTAAAACAAGATTATTTAGTTAAATGTTATTTCTGGTGTGAATTTTTTGAACATAATTTAATGAAAATCAACAAAACATTGTTGAGTAATAATATTTTTATTTTCAGCTAAAATAGAATGCAACGAGAAATGATGTCTAGACCACAAAAATTGTAATATTTTATGAATACATTATCAGGACAATTTACATCAAGATGCAAAATGAATGTGTTGTACAAAATCAAATTAAAAAATTGCAAAGGTAAATTTGCTATAAAATAAGTGAGAACAAGTGACCAACCCTATATTGAGTTATCCTAATTGAATTTATAATCAAAATAAATTATGAGGAATGATTTTCAGTATTCTATAAATTACTTTACTAAAGAATAGTAGAAGGAAACATACAACAGTAATCATGTTTTTTTTTAATTTTTTACAAAACCCAAAAACTTACGTTGTTTTTTTAATAATGAAAATATTTTGAAGCATTTTTACTTTTTTTTTCTATAATTAGAAATAATCAATTTTCAAAATAATATACAAACTTTTACTTAATTTCTAATGAAAACATTAAAGTATTAATACTTTAATTTTTTCGTTACTTTTATATGTGGAAATAATCATATACATATTACTAAAGCACGTGTAGGATGGATTTTCATGTTTTTCCTCTAAATAAAATATCAATTACGTTCAAAGCAATCGCTTTTGCAGATCATATAGAACGCAATATAATCATTGCAAATAACCACATTTTTCCATCATATATATTTACCATAAACCAGCAAAACAACTTTGATAGAATTGCAATTGAGTGGTTATCAAACAACATTTTTTTAATGATGTGTTTTGAATTAATTCTGAATATCTAATTACAAAGCTTTCGCATATAATGCAACATTTAATTAACTAAAGTAAATAGCGGAATAATTACAAAGTGATCATTATGAATTTGTATCTGTCCATGAATTTTAATTACTACATGACATTTATATGTTGTATAATAAACACATTGGACGGCTTTTGATGCAAATAATATACTACAAAATTAGAATTAGTATTAGAATTTCAATATAGGCTTCACACAGAATTTTCATATAGAATTTAAAATTATGGAGAAAACTCAATCGATATTTATATAAAAACCTATTAGAAAATGGGTACTTTTTCCTAACTATTAACCTGTCTACCTGTCTAGCAGTTGACCTATACATTTGCCAACTTTTAACCTGCCTATCTGTTGACTTGCCTGTTTGTCAGTCTGCCTAGCCCTCAGATCGCCCATTTTCCTAATTATCTATTTGTCTTCCTGTTTACCTGTTACCTGTTCACCTACCCATTTGCCTACATTTTACCTGCCTGCCTGTCGACCTGTCTGTCTGTCTGCCCACCTGACAGCCGATTCGTTTTCTTAATTTTCTATTTATACCTGTTTACCTGTCTACCTACCGACTTTTTTGTATACCTGTTTACCTGTCTACCTATTTGTGTACCTGTTTACCTCTCTACCTACCCACTCGCCTATATTTTACATTCCCACCTGTCGACCAGTCTGTCTAATCGAAATCCGGTCCATCTTTCTAATTGTCTATCTGTTTATATGTTTACTTGTCTATCCACTTGCCTACATTTTATCTGTCTACCTGTCGACCTGTATGTATGTCTGTCTACCCGTCAGCCGGTTTATCTTGCTAATTGTCTATCATTCTACCTGTTTAATTTTCTACCTACCCACTTTTCTACATTTTACCTACCTATCTGTCATCTTGTCTGTTTATCTGTCTACCCGTCAGCCGGTTCACTTTTCTAACTGTCTACCTGTCTACCTACCTACTTGCTTAAACTTTACCTATCTATTTTCCGACCTGTATTTGTCTGTCTTGCCTGTCTACCCGTCAGCTGTTTCATCTTCCTAATTATCTGTCTGTCTACCTCTGTCGACCTTTCTGCCTGTCTGTCTGTCCTCCCAATAGCCGATCTATTTTGCTAATTGTCCATTTGTCTACCTGTTTACCTGTCTACTCGTCCACTTGCCTATTTTTTACCTGCTTACATGTTGAGCTGCCTGTTTGTCTGTCTACCCATCAGCCGGTTCATCTTTCTAATTGTCTATCTGTCTACTTGTTTACCTGTCCTACCTACCCAGTTTCCTACTTTTTACCTTTTTACCTGTCGACCTGCCAGTCTGTCTTTCTACCCGTCAGCCGGTTGATTTTCCTAATTGTTTCTCTGTCTACCTGTTTACCTGTCTACCTATCCACTTGCCTATATTTTACCTGCCTACCTTTCGACTTGTATATCTGTTTGTCTGCCTACCCGACAGCCCGTCTATTTTCCTATGTGTCTATCTTTCTAACTATTTACCTGTCTACTGGTCCATTTACCCACTTTTTACCTGTCTACCTGTCAACCTGTTTGTCTGTCTGCCTACCCGTCAGACGGTTCATATTCCTAATTGTCAATCTGTCTACCTGTCCACTGGTCTACTTGCCTACTGTTTGACTGCCTTCCTGTCTACTCGTCAGCCTGTTTATCTCCCTAATTGTCGGTTTACCTGTCTAACTACCCACTTGCCTACTTGTTACCTTCCTACCTATAAACATATCTGTCCGTCTGTCTACCCAGTTCATTTTCCTGATTGTCTATCTGCCTGCCTGTTTACCTGACTACCTGCCCACTTGTCACACCTGTTAACTCGTACTCTCAAAAACGAGGCCAAAAAATTGTATCCATACATACACACAACCATTTTTTCTAATGTTTGCCGAAATTTTCACACCATACGCGAAGGCAGGAAAAGTATTTATATTTTGTATTAGATTTTTATCATGACAGATTTTTACGAGAGTAAAAATCTTTATTCCCGAACTGCACTTTATCTAAACCATTTCTAACTTTAAACAACTATTTTAGGAAAACAAACGAGCATTACAACTTTCCAGTTTCGATAAAAGTAAAAATAACAAAAAAACAAAAAAAAAATAATGAAAAAGTACGGTTTGTTTGAATCCGTTTTAAATCTCGGCGAGTTGTCGCGTTATTTATGTCTGCGGCTTTTGCGTTTACGAACCGAATCGGAAAACGAGCAAATACTTCTTTGGGGAAATAGTACTAGGAAAAAATCAAACAAACCACAATTTTCTCAAAGATATAAACACCAAGTAATTTATTGCTGAAGATCAACTAGTTTGGTTAATAAAACCTTTCACAAAATATTCTAAACAACTTACATTCCACAATATATTTTTCAAAAGTTCCAATTTAATTGTAGGAAAAGGTCATTATTGTATATTCGCTAAATTCTGCCACGTCTCCATGACAAGTCCATATATTCATTGATCTCAGTTAACTATTATATAATACTATTTCTCACAGAATAACTTAGAAATTCCTTGATATTTAAGTATGTTAAAACACTCTACCGAGCTTCGTAATTTCTTCTCCTATCTCGACACCTCGAATATATTGAATTGTTGTGCACGAGAGGCCGCATAACTTCCCTGATGCAATTAATAAATTAAGGGTGAACTAGAAAACTTTGTTTTGCGCACCTTCCCTTAGTTGTTGTTTTGTTAGTTCGTTGCTAAACCCACATCTTAAACTATTTCTTAGTCGGGGTAAGAAAGTCTAAACGCAAGGCAGGGGTTGGAAACTAAAGGAATGATGAATTTACAGCCGAAAGTTGTCTTTAAATGTGAAATGGAAACCGCTCTATGAAACATAACAATGATATCAGAAATAGGTTAACATTGACTATAATAAATTTATTAGATAATTTATTTAAACATGTGAACGTATTAAGTAACGCATTTATCTATAGTCTATTAAAATGTATCAAGAGAAAATGCTTGTTTACCAAAATTTCTTGAAAATATTCCTTTTATGTCACACATATATGACTGACATACCTGATGAAAAACTTTTCGACATTTCGACATTTCGTATTACAAATTTATTTTTATATAATTTGTTGTGTAACATCTGAGGTCCATCTTTGTTCTACTAGTTTCCCTAAAGTTACTACAATAAGTTTTTGCTTCAAGATCTACTGCACAGGAGTTTCTATACGTTTTCCTGAAATAAGGTGAAGGCAACGAAAACTTACCAGAACTTGGTTATCTTACAATATCGACGTACAACAAAATTAAAAAAAAGTATTAAAATATTATGCTGAGGAAATAAGTTTAATCATGATTATAAAATGAAAAAGTTTTCATTTTTATCTTAAAATATCTCGCTTTTTTATTTGCCTAGTTTCCATCAAGAAGCTTTAATACAATGAATTCTTAGTTTCTTTTAATAATTTTATAGAACAAAAAATGTCGTAATTTGTATTAGGTTAGAAGGGCAACTGCTTTAATATAAATATTTGTTTAATACTTTCATAAAACAAAAATTTCTATGATTTTTAAGAAAGAAGAACAACTGTTTTAATATAAATATAAGATTTCTGAGATATTTAGTAAATGTTACAAATAATAAATATGTGAATAGTTTATTGTATATTAATTGAGTTAATTTTTTGTAGTGGAAGAAGAAGTCCATAACATCAGTGAAACTTTAATTAGTTAAGCCAGATAATATTATGATGCCAAAAAGGAGTGTTTTTAATAAACAATATTTTTGATTATTAGGATTTTAAGAAAAAATGGATAACGACTATGCACTCTACAGAATGGACAAAAAATAACGAAGGTATTATATTGTAATGGCTATATTTGAGAACATAAATTATTTTAAAATGTTTTTGGTATAATTATAATGTTTTTTTAATAAAATATGTAACATTTCGAGGTTTTAGAGATGACTTGAAAAATACATACTGAGGAAAAGTAAATGGTAAAAGATAAAAATTCTACGAGACCAAAACTATTCTTTCATTATATTGACACCATATAGTTAATTTCTTGTATCATACAAATATTACAAGTATCTTGAAATCATTACCAGCATTGTAATAGTAGCTGAAACAAGCTAAACAATAATAATATGAATAGTACTCAATAGCTTTCCTTGGCTATTTGGATACAAGCCAATCTATTTAGAATGTAAATTTATTGTAAGGGAATTATACAAAAAGTTTTTGCAGATTGCTCAATGTTCTTAACCTTCACTACTGCTGCAAAGAATTGCAAATATAAATACATGGCATCATGTCTTAAAACTGATTGATGGAACTTCCCGTATCGAAAATCACATTTTATAAAACTTTAAATTTAAAAAATTTATATAATTTTTTTGAAAATTTTGGAAAAGTTATATATCTCAAAATTTAGATTTTTTTTTAAATTAGACTTTTTTAATAAATTCGAAATTGTTTGAAAAGTTTGAATTTAATTTTAAAGCAATCGCGCTTTGTAGCTGTTTTAGAGCCGCAATATCAAAGCGCGTAAGCGCCGCGTCGCTGTCTAACAAATCAACATTGGTACGGAACCCCTATGAATGTAAACAAAATTTGTATATATTATTAAAATCTCTAAAATATCTGGTAGTTTCATATGCGTATGTTTAATGAACATTTTTGACTCCAAATCTCCAAAACCGCTACACCTACATTCCAAAAAATTTAATCAGTTATTTATTTAGTCAATACAAATAAAACATTATTTAAATCATTCAATTTGGACGCTCTGTTATCTCTTAAACTGAATTACCATTTTTGTTCTTTATTGCCCAGTATCTTCGAAACGGCTATACCTGCCTTTTCCAAAAACTAATCAGCAGCACGTCTCCCTATCAATAAAAATCAAATGTTTTCCGAATTAATGAAAAATCGGTTGATTCGTGTTTCCAAAATCAAAAATTTGTATCCGGATACACACACAAACATACATTCATTTCTGAGATATGTCAAAATGTTCAGCAAACTTGGAAAGGTGAGGATATATGAAAAAAATCGTTTTCGCGAAGTTAAATATGTGGCATTTTTGTTCTTTTAAAAAAAAAACTAGCTGTAAGTGGAATTCTGTCTTAAGGCAATTAGGGCATCGTGCCTTAAGGCAAATTGCTGGAACTTCCCGTACCAAAATTATTATTTTTTTAAAAACGATCAACATTTTTGAAAAAAAATTACTTTGAAAAAATAAGATTTTTGAGAAACTATAAATTGGACAAAAAATTACTTTTTTTGAAAAAAAATTTTTTTTTTAAAAAATAATTTTTTTTTTTAATTTTTTTTTTTTGAAAAAATTTTTTTTTTCTTTATTTTGACATATTGTGGAAGATCTGAACTTTCTTTTCAAAGCAATCGTACTGCTTTAACTGCATAGAGACAAAGCGACGTAAGTCCCGCGTCGCTGTTTAACGCATAAGCATTGGTACGGAACCCATAGGAATGTTAACAAAATGTATACTTATTGTTAAAATCTCTATAAAATATCTGATAATTTGATGTGCATATGTCTAATGATCATTTTTGACCGCCAAATGGCTCATTTTTTTACTTTTTCCTCCATATCTCCGAAACCGCTAGACCTACCTTCATGAAAATTTTATCGATTCTTCATCTTGTCAATACAAGTGAAATGTTTTTTGAATTATTCAAATCGGACGCTCCGTTCTCTTAAAAACTAAGTTACCGTTTTCGGCACTTTTTGCCCCGTATCTTCGGAACGGCTAGACCTGCCTCCGCCAAAAACTAATCAGCACGTCTCCTTATCAATACGAATCGAATGTTTTTTGAATTATTCAAATCGGTTGATCCGTGTTCCCGAAATCGTCGACGAAAATTTGTATCCGCACATACATACACACACATACATACATACATACATACATACACACACACACACACACACACACACACACATACATCCATTTTTTCTAAGGTATGCGAAAATGTTAAGAAACCTCTGAAACGTAAAGATATATAAAAATTTTCATTTTCGATTTTTTTGCGATTACTATAACTTACCCTACGGGAAGTTAATTAAAATGTAATATAGATATAACAATGGCGATGTCACGACTTAAGCAACTTTGCCGTACATTCATTTATTAACTTTTCGTTAGAAAAATGTTTGAAGCTTTTTTAAACTAGTGGGGTGCATAACATCGTGTCTTAAGGTAAATTGCTAGAACTTTCCGTACCGTAATAAAAATCTTGGTACTGAACGCAAAAAAATTTACACAAAATGTGTTAACATTATTAAAAACTCTATAAAATATCTGATAATTCGATGAACATATGTCCAATAAACATTAGAACAACGCTTAACCTGCCTTCTCAAAAATTTAATCAGTTCTTCATCTTGTCAGTACAAGTAAAATGATTTTTGAATTATTAAATTCGTATGCTCCGTTCTCCTAAGAACTGAGTCTTTGGCACTTCACGCCCCGTATCTTTGGAACAGCTAAACCTGCTTCTCCAAAAACTAATCAACACGTCTCCTCATCAATACGAATCGAATGTATTTTGAATAATTCCAATCAGTTGATCGACGTTCCCGAAATAGTCGACAAAAATTTGTATCCGCACACACACACACATACACACATACACACAAACATAAAAACACATACACACACATACATCAATTTTTTCTAAGGTATGCCGAAATATTTAGAAACCTTTGAAACGTAAAGATATATACAAATTTTCATTCTCGACGTTTTTGCGATTACTAAAACTTACACTTAGGGAAGTTAAAAATTCAAGTCTTGGTTTGGAAAATTACAGAAATTTGCCTTAAGGCACAATGCCATACACTACTAGTTCAGTACCTCATTCGTCTGTTACCACATACGTTTCCTTAATATCATTATTCGGCGGCATCTCGTTTGTTGCAATTAGCAATTCGGAAATGAAATTCTCTCGTGTCGTGTTGTACGTATGGTTTGCACTTGCACTTGCACTTGCACATGCACATTATGCAAGGATTGCATTTTCAGCGACAACGACAACGCGACAGTCGCGCCTTATGTCAACCAAATATTATGCATGTCAAGCCATTCGGGAGGGCTAAGAACACGGTGGAGCGATCTGGAAGAACATTTCGTATAATTTCCGTACTGGAAATTATTATTCCACATAGAATGTGTTGTATGATGTATATGTAGAAAATTATGGTATTGTAGAGTAAGGTTTCTCAAGACGTAGCACCTTCTAAGTAAAGCCCCGGCTATATTTTGTCTGCTAATTAATTATTAAATCATTTGGTATCATTGTTTTTCTCTCCATATATGTCCTTATTTATTTTATGTTAATTCTAGGAGCGCCACTAGGCGTTTCTACTAATTTTTTGACAATCAATTTTTGTCAGCATTGTCTGCTAAATGTAAATATTTTCATAGATTGCAGAATGAAAATAAAATAAAAAAAATCTACTATCACTAACTATAAGTTTAGTAAGAAAGCTTAAGGAAAGCGAATAAGATTTGATGATTACTAATTAGGGGTCGTCCCACAATTACGTGAGATTTTGGGTATAGGGGTGATGTTTGACAAAAAATTACAAAATAGTGCGTCGGGGGAGGGTATAATAAGATATCACGTGTATTTATTTTTTACCTAAATTTTTTTAAACAAATCCAAACGTTTTAAAAAAAATCAAAAATGTTACAATTTTTGCTCGTAAGTAAAAATACACGTGATATTTAGTGGAGGATGCCGGGTAATTTTGAATATTGCCACATATAACAAAGGGGAAGGGGAGGGGTCAAGAATTCTTTAAAAATCGATCACGTCATTAATGGACGCCCCCTTACTATGAGTTTGTGAATATTGTATTAATAGTTTCGGTTCCATTGTAAGTCCATTATGGCCAAAATATGTCTCTGATTTTTCTTTTTAATAATGGGTGATATTTATTGCTTGTTTGGCAATTGTTCAGGCATTATTATTACTTGATCAAATTTGTTTAAGTTATGTCGTCCAGGCTTTTTATTTTATATAGTACTTACATGTACAAAATGCCTTACTAGCACTGGTTTAATAAAGAGTGTTTTGTGGATTTATTTTAATAAATACGAAAAAATGAGAGCTAAATATTATATTCCATCATTTAGCGTTTTAACTTGATAAACGAAAAATGGGTGCTAATCAATCTCATGTATTTTCAAGAACAGTTTTATCTCTATTCTTAGCATCCAGAGACTCAATAATTGTAGAAGTACAATCATTAATTTTTGAGATTATTATTATATTTTAGGTGGTAATATATTAAATATATTCGACAGAATAACTACATAAAAGTTAATCTCAGATTGAATTTTATACAGTTTTTGTCATTTTATATAGTGGGTACGACATGGGCTATAGATGGTACGACTAAGGCAACGAGAAATCTTATAAATTTCTCGAAAACTTAAAAACGATATTAATAAAATTGTTGCATTTCAGCAAATATTATAAATAAATTAAGTAAAATTTGGCAAACCCTAATGATTTTTTTCTGCACTGAATTTTACAGCAATATGTTATTAGGTGGTAAGACTTAAGCAACTTTGCCGTATAGTGATATTTCATGATGCGTTATGAAACTGGGAATTACTGGCAAATATCATAAAAGCTTTTATAAACTGCCTTTTTGTGCGAAAACTAAATTTCAATAGAAAAATGGTCCACAGATAAAATTTATTTTACATATCTTTTTATTGATATTACAAATATTTTTTTCATAAATTGTTTACCAGTTTTTCTTATCAAATTTATCATCAAACCAATAATATTATTGTAATGCGTTTCAGAA